TGAGTTGGTGGAACGGTTCCTACGGTCGTCGCCAAAAGTGAAGGTGTTCCTCAAAGGAGAGAGTAACGGTCAGGATACTTCTGCTGTGGCTCTGAGCTCCAATTCGTCTACGGCTCTGCTTCGAGACGTGACCAGTGCCGTTTGGACGTGCATGATCTGCTCCTACAACAACCACATTGCAACAAATTACAATTTGGACAAGAACGATCCACCTAAATGCGTATCGTGTGGAGTTGCTCCTTCAAGAGACGTGCTTCGAAAGGTTATAGAGGAAGCCGTCAAGAAGGATAATTCCAAGGAAGCGCCGGCCAAAGAGTCAAAGCTGAACGAGTGCCCGCGTTGCACTTTCATCAATCACCCGTCCATGAGAAACTGTGAAATGTGTGGCACAGAGCTCCGACCCAAGGCTTCAACGATTGCCAAAAAGATAGCGTTACACGAACGCCCCGACTCGCCGCTATATCAGAATCCCTTGGGGCTCACGCTAGAGGAGCCCGAAGAGTACACCAATCTCAAACCGTACATCAAAGTGAGTTTCAGAAAAGGTGGAGAAACCGGCTTTCTCGAACAGGCCACCGCAGCCATCGACAAGTTGAAATGGGAACAATTAGAACAACGTGGCGGCATCAGCGATGCAGCAACCAAAATCAACCCAACTCCAAAAACCGAAACAAGACTCAAAGGCGGGGGAATTCACAGCTTGCAGCAGCTCGGCGAACAGCAAAGAAAACGCAACGAGCTCGTGCTATCGCTGCTGCTTGAGGACTTAGAACAGCTCATGTACAAAGCGCAGGATCTTATCAAGGTGAGTTCCAGTTTCGGGTCATTGATAAAGAAACAGGGCAAATTTTCTAAAGCCTTGCCCACAGGAGCCTCTACGATTCCCCCGATTCCCGCCAACAAATCATCTTCGTTCTACGCCGAGGAGCTAGCAAGACACATTTGTGAGTATCTCTTAAACACGGAGCTCACCAAAACCACATCCATGATCACACTTCAGGACACTTTTGCATCGTACAATCGTTATCGAATCTATACACAAGGCTTTGGCACAGAGCTTATAACTACGGCAGAGTTTACAAAATGCATCGCCATGTTCGAGACCCTCAACCTTCCTGTGAAAACAAAAACATATTCCCGGCTGGGCCTTGTTGTGATAACTCAAAAGCAGCTGCAGCTGCAAAAAGACCTTCATTGGACCATTTTGGAATTCCTCATTGCACAGGACAACCAATTCACATATGACAAATACCGACTGGAGCTCGAAGGCGTTCAGGATAATTACCTAAGAGAACATTATCAGGTGTTCCATGGATGTACAATAACCGAAGTTGCAGACCATTTTGGTTGGGCACACGCTGTTTGCATGGAAGAAATGGACCGCTGCATTGAGGAGCTGTTGGTCGTCTACGATAAGCACATATCTGGTACATTCTACTTTGTCAATAAGTTCGACGAGAAATTGTGCCTGTTCCTCAAGAGTGAGCAAGAATTGAAGAAGCAAGCCGAGAATGACTGCTTGGCAGAGCAAAAGCAAATCACATCGGAGCTAAAGACGCAGTATGATGAGGAAGTGGGCCAATTGTTGGTCAATCTCAAAGAAAACTACGCCTTTGGTGAAATCACACCTCAACAGGCCATCGAGAAAGAGGATTCCCCCGCCGATAAGAATTCTCTGCTCATCGAGGATTTAGCCGGGCTTAACTTCTCGTAACGGTAACAAATTAGCTCTTCTGCTTTTAAAACATGGCAAGACCGCAGGGTCCGGACTGTTTATGCACGCTAGAGAATAGAATCTACGGCAAAGTGGAGTAGCCGCCGTCGGGCCGCAAATTTGTGATTTTTTCATTTTGCCCCAAGTGCTGCTCTTATCTCTCGAGTGCCTGGATAAGGCTCGATATTGCGTTCTGTATGCAGTACGGCACCATGATTGGACGCTACTTGACGCAGCTGCATTACGTTCACTATGTGCCTCTTCGACCCATCCCCTTGACGGGATTGGGCGACTCAAAAACCAGCTAAGCGAAGCTTCATCTGCAAGCCTTCACAAACGCCTCAGAAATTGATGTAAACCGTTATCAGGTGTCAAAATGTGCAGGATTGCACTGATAGCAGATGGTTGCAAAAAGTATAAAGAGACCTCCCTGCCAGCAGTACATACCCAAGACCAAGCTACAGAATTTCAAAATGTCATCTGCTGCTCAATACGTGCCTCTTCCCCAAGGCGCCGGCTATGCTGTCGTTGTTGGTCTCGGTTTCTTGTTTTCCGCTGGTATGGTGGCTACAACATACTGTCTTAAGCGTTACAACAAAGAGATCATGACTGCTGAAGAGTTTTCTACTGCGGGTAGGTCTGTGAAGCCATTCCTTCTTTCCGCAGCGGTTGTGTCATCGTGGACATGGGCGGCGACGCTATTGACGTCTACAACCCAAGTGTACAATAACGGTGTCTCCGGTGGTATGTTCTATGCTTGTGGTGCTACAGTTCAAATTATTTTGTTCTCTTGTTTGGCTATTAAGGGCAAGGAGCGGGCTCCTTGTGCTCACACCTATTTGGAAATCGTCAAGGCTCGTTACGGCAAATGGACCCACAGTGTGATGTCCTTTTGGGGTTTCGCTACCAATGTACTTGTCACGGCTATGTTGCTCACTGGTGGGTCTGCCGTGGTTAACGATTTGACCGGCATGAACGTCGTTGCAGGCTGTTTGCTTTTGCCATTGGGTGTGGTAATTTACACAATGTTCGGTGGACTAAAGGCTACTTTCCTCACCGACTACGCCCACACGGTTGCCGTGTTGGTGATTTTGTTGGTTTTTGCCTTCAACACTTTTGCCGTTTCCGACAAGTTGGGATCTCCAGGTATCGTCTGGGAAAAGATCACTGAGCTTGCATTCACCAAGCCTAGAGAAGGTAACCAAGACGGCTCCTACTTGACCATTCATTCTCGTTCAGGCGGTATTTTCTTTGTTATCAACCTTGTTGGTAACTTCGGTACCGTGTTCTTGGACAATGGTTACTTCAACAAAGCCTTTGCCTCTGACCCAGCTGCTACCATGCCTGGTTACGTGATGGGTGGTCTCGCTTGGTTTGCTATCCCAATGTTCTGTTCCACCACTTTGGGCCTTACCGCCCTTGCTTTGGAAGACACTCCTTACTGGCCTTCGTACCCTAACAAGATGACCAGTGCTGAAGTCACAGCAGGTTTGGTTTTGCCCAATGCCGCAACTGCCCTCTTGGGTAAGTCTGGTGCTGTCATGTCGCTCATTTTGACCTTCTTGGCTGTCACCTCCTCCATGTCCTCCGAGCTCATTGCCGTTTCAACAATCTTCACCTACGATTTCTACCGTGGCTACATCGACCCCAATGCCTCAGGTAAGAAGTTGATGCTTGTTTCGCATGCCTCGCTTTGTGTGTTTGCTTACGTTATGGCTGGCTTTGCCATTGGCTTGTACTATGCTGGTATTTCGATGGGATACTTGTACGAATTGATGGGTATCATTATCGGCGGTGCTGTGCTTCCTTCTACAATGACGCTTTTCTCTAAGCGCCAGAACTGGGCTGCAGCAACCTTCACTCCACCAATTGCCACAGCCTTGGCTATCATGGCCTGGTTGGTTACTACTAAAACCAAGTTTGGTGAGATCAATGTGGACAACACCTTTGAGGACGACTCCATGTTGACTGGTAACGTTGTGGCCTTGTGTTCTCCATTGATCATCATCCCTATTCTCACGCTTGTGTTCAAGCCACAGAACTTCGACTGGAATCTTTTGAAGCTCATTTCTCGTGTCGATGAGACTGAGGAGCTTCTCGAAGCAGAGTCACCTCTGCAAGTCGATCTTGAGAAGCTGTCAGACGGCGGAATGCACCCAGTCAAGTCTCAGATCACCATCACTGCCCATGAAATCGCCCTTTTGAAAGCAGAAGAATTCGCCGAGGAATCTCAGAGACTCAATAAGGCATTCAAGAAAGGCGCATGTGTGTGTGTGTTCTTGGCTCTCTCGTTGATCATCTTGTGGCCTATGCCAATGTACGGATCTGGCTACATTTTCAGCAGGCAATTCTTCACTGGGTGGATTGTGGTCCTCTTCATCTGGACATTCATCACCTGTTTTATTGTCATTATTGGTCCAGTGTGGGAAGGACGCTACGGCATTGCTTACACATTCAGAGGCATTTACTGGGACTTGACCGGCCAGACGTGGAAATTGAGGCAGTGGCAGAACGACAACCCGGAGCAGATGCATGCTGTTAGAAGTCAGGTTTCTGCCGAATTGGCCAAAATCAATACTATCCAAGGTGTGAACCAGGACGGCGGGTACATCACGCCGCACAATATCGACGAGGAGCTCGACGAAAAGAAGTAATTATTTAATCGGATCAATAGAAAGCTTTCAAGAAATCTTTACCCACTGTAAGCATATGAGCGGAATTGCAAGTACGGCAAAATCCATGCTTTGTGTCTCACGTGCGCACGAGAGCTTATCGAGGCCACAGACGGCTGCGAATCCGGATAAGACAGGTGTGAAAAAATCGAGTGCTGCAACCGGAACTAATCGGGTCGCCCTACACCTGTCTTATCCGGACACAATCATCGACCAACCAAGAAGCAGCTGAACCCCTCCGATAAGTTGCTCCGAGCCTTCTTTGAAAAACATGATTCCTAAAAAGTTCCCTTGAGTCCTTATGTGGAGCTTTCCAAAAAATATCAAAAACCTTATCAAAATCTTATCTAAATCCCAAAATCCTCTATGGCTTCTGACACCGGATCGGCCCGCGCTGGCGATCTCGCTAGGCGTCCTAAAGCTTTGGCGTTTTCTGCGTCACCGTTGATAGACTGCACACAGCGCAACGCTTACGCTTTATCGCTGCATGGTTTCTCCGGGCTCTGCCCCAGGCCAATCCCGATGAAATGCCTATTTGGGCCAAGAGCGATGAGCTATAAAGACGGCGTTCGCCGTGGGATCTCCAGTTTTCAAAATTACCAAATCACTGCATCATGTTCGGCTGGACCGTTGAGGAGTGGAAAAGCTTCCATTTTTCAGCCACCCCAGACAAGTCGCTAACAAAACTTCACGAGCTCTTGGGCTCCCAGAAATGTGCTCCAGAGGACCCGGCGTGGATCTCGTTGGTGCTGCCGGAAGACTTGGACCACCAGTGGAGCTTTCTCCAGTCGCATTCGAAAAAACGCCTGCTTCCTCTTTACGGTGTTCCTGTGGCTGTCAAGGACAATATCGACACAAGGCTTTTGCCCACCACGGCAGCATGCCCGTCTTTCTCATATCAGCCGCAGGAGGACGCCACCACGGTGCTGCTTTTGAGAAACGCAGGTGCCATTATTATCGGAAAAACCAACCTTGACCAGTTTGCAACCGGTCTTGTGGGTACCAGATCGCCATATGGCATTACTCCCAACACATTCAACAAGGACTATGTTTCGGGCGGTTCTTCTGCTGGATCGGCCTCGGTGGTGGCCAGAGGCATTGTTCCGGTCGCTTTGGGCACCGATACCGCCGGTTCAGGCCGTGTTCCTGCTGCATTGAACAACTTGATTGGCTTGAAACCCACAAAGGGCGTTTTTTCTGCCCACGGCGTGGTTCCAGCGTGCAAGTCGCTTGACTGTGTGTCCATTTTCGCCATGAACCTCCAGGACGCCCAGCTCACATTCAACATTTTGGCCCACGAGGATCCAACCAAGGACGGCTACTCCAGACCCATGCCACAGAACCCCAAGTTGACTTTTGGCAGTGCTCCCAAAGTCGGTGTTCCTACCAAATTGTTGTGGTGTGGTGAAGAGGAAAACCCCAAGCTTTACGAAAAAGCCGTTTCCACTTTGGAAAAAGCCGGTGCTACGCTATCTGCGGTGGATATCCAGCCGCTTCTCGATTTGGCCAGGTACCTCTACGAAGGCGCCTGGGTCGCCGAGAGATACTGGGCCATGAAGGATTTTTACGCCTCCAGTCCTCCTCAAAAAGATTTGGACCCCACGGTTGCAAAAATCATCCAGGGCGCAGAAAACATGCCTGCTACTACGGCCTTCGAATACGAGTACAAGCGCCAGGCTGTGGTGCAGAAAATCACACCTATTTTGGAGGAAATTGACGTTATCGTTGTACCTACAGCCCCATTGACGCCGAAGATCGCCGATGTCCAGGCCGAGCCGGTCAAAATCAACTCGTGCCAGGGTACATACACCAACTTTGTCAACCTCGCCGATTTGAGTGCCTTGAGTGTTCCCGCTGGGTTCAGAACCAGCGACGGCGTGCCTTTTGGCGTGACGTTCCTTTCCCAAAAATTCAACGACTACGCTCTTTTGGACTTTGCCGCTCGCTACATGAAAGCATACTCTGCTGAGGTGCCTCGCTTCTATGGGTGCCTCAAGGAAAAGCAAATCAACACCGCTACCGTCCACGATTTGCTCCACCACCGTACGGAGCTTCCAGCTCCAGTACTCAAAAACACCATCAAATTGGCCGTGGTCGGTGCCCACCTCAAAGGATTCCAGTTGCACTGGCAGCTCCAGAAAGTGCGTGCTCTGTTTGTGGAGCTGACCACCACCGCAGAATCATACAAACTCTATGCCTTGCCGAAAACCGGGCCTGTGGCCAAACCGGGCTTGAGAAGAGTGTCCAAAGGCGGCAAGAAAATTGCCATTGAGATCTACGAGGTTCCCGCCGAGACGTTTGGCCAGTTTATTGCATTTGTGCCTGAGCCTTTGGGCATAGGGTCTGTGGAGACGGCTTCTGGCGAGTGGATCAAGTCGTTCATTTGTGAAGAATCGGGCTATCTTGCTGAAGGTACCACCGACATTACAGAATTCGGCGGCTGGAAAAACTACCACCAACATCTTGACGCTGAGGCCAAAAAGACCCCCAAACCGTTCAAATCGGTGCTTGTGGCCAACAGAGGAGAAATCGCCGTCCGGATCATGAAAACGTTGAGACGCATGAAGATCAAGGCCATTGCCGTGTACTCCGACCCAGACAAGTACGCTGAGCATGTGGTGATGGCGGACCAGGCGGTCCCACTTAACGGTGTTCTGGCTGCTGAAACATATATCCACATGGACAAGATTTTTGCAGCCGCCAAGAAGAGTGGTGCCGAGGCCATTATTCCCGGCTACGGCTTTCTTTCTGAAAACGCCGATTTTGCTGATCGCTGTGGAAAAGAGGGCATCGTGTTTGTGGGACCTTCTGGTGATGCCATCAGAAAGCTTGGACTCAAGCACTCTGCCAGAGAAATTGCCCAAAAAGCCGGTGTTCCTTTGGTCCCCGGATCGGGTCTTGTTACCGACGCCAAGGAGGCCAGAAAAGTGGCTGCCCAGTTGGAGTACCCTGTGATGGTGAAGTCCACTGCTGGAGGTGGAGGCATTGGATTGCAGAAGGTGGACTCCGAGGAGGACATCGAGAGGGTTTTCCAGACGGTGCAGCACCAGGGCAAGTCGTATTTCGGCGATTCTGGCGTGTTCTTGGAAAGATTTGTGGAAAACGCCAGACATGTGGAGATCCAGATGGTTGGTGATGGTTACGGTAAAGCTTTGGCCATTGGCGAGCGTGACTGTTCTCTCCAGAGAAGAAACCAGAAAATTATTGAGGAAACACCTGCTCCTAATCTTCCAGAAGCCACAAGACAGCGTATGAGAACAGCTGCCGAGTCCTTGGGCTCTCTTTTGCACTACAAGTGTGCCGGCACGGTCGAGTACATCTACGACGAGAAAAGAGACGAGTTCTACTTTTTGGAGGTCAATGCCCGTTTGCAGGTGGAGCACCCCATCACGGAAATGGTCACCGGGCTCGATTTGGTCGAGTGGATGTTGCTTATTGCTGCTGACACTCCACCCGATTTTTCGCAGCCAATCGTCGTGAAAGGTGCTTCCATGGAAGCCAGACTCTATGCTGAAAACCCCGTCAAGGGCTTCATGCCTTCGCCAGGCCAGCTTACCGAGGTCAGTTTCCCGTCTTTTGCCCGTATCGACGGCTGGGTGCAAAAAGGTACCGTTGTTTCTGGAGAGTACGATCCCACCTTAGCCAAGATCATTGTTCATGGTGAGGACAGAGACGAGGCGTTGCAGAAGCTCCGGTGGGCGCTTAACGAAACCGTTGTTTCCGGCTGCATCACCAACATCGACTACCTTCGTTCCATTGCCAACTCGCAGATGTTCGAAACAGCCAAGGTCTCTACCAAGGTGCTTGATTCGTACGACTACTGCCCCACGGCTATGGAGATTCTTACCCCTGGCGCCTACACCACCGTTCAGGACTTTCCTGGCAGAAAGGGCTACTGGCACATTGGTGTTCCTCCTTCTGGATGCATGGACGAGTATGCTTTCCGTATGGCCAATAGAGCAGTAGGAAACGACGCTGCTGCTCCTGGGCTTGAGATGACGCTTAGCGGACCAAAGATTGTATTCCACCACAGCGCCATTGTGGCTGTTACCGGAGGTGATGTTGCGGTTACTGTGAACGACCAGCCTGTGGGTCAATGGAAGCCTTTGGAGCTCAAGAAGGGCGATATCTTGGGTGTGGGAAAACTCGACACCGGCTGCAGAGCCTACCTTGCCATTAGAGGCGGCATTGACGTCACAGAGTACCTTGGATCGAGATCCACTTTCGCCTTGGGCAATTTGGGCGGCTACAATGGTCGTACTTTGCGTCTTGGAGATGTGCTCTTTTTGGGCCAGCCCGAACTCCCCAGCTGCACCCTCCCCATGCCCATTAGTGCTCCCGTGGAAATTCCAAGAGCCCTTGTGCCTTCGTACCAGTACAACAAGGACAATGCATGGCAGGTAGGTGTGACTTGTGGACCTCACGGATCCCCAGACTTCTTCACCCAGGAAGCCGTCCAGGAATTCTTCTCCAGCGAGTGGAAGGTCCACTACAATTCCAACAGGTTTGGTGTTCGTCTTATTGGACCTAAGCCCAAGTGGGCCAGAAAAGACGGTGGTGAAGCTGGTTTGCACCCATCCAATGCTCACGACTATGTTTACTCGCTTGGAGCCATTAATTTTACCGGTGACGAGCCTGTCATTTTGACCTGCGACGGTCCTTCTTTGGGTGGTTTCGTGTGTGAGGCCGTTGTGGCCGAGGCTGAAATGTGGAAGATTGGTCAGGTCAAACCAGGCGATCTGATCAAGTTTGTTCCGCTTTCTTACGATACCGCCAAGGACATGAAGGTGAGCCAGGATAAGGTTGTGGAGACTTTGGAGGGCGAGATTCCTTCTTTTGAACAAAAACAGCTTTCTGCTCCCGAGGACCCCGTTTTGGCTTGTATCCCAGCAGACGGCACTTCCCCTAAAATAGTGTACCGTCAAGCCGGAGACCGTTACATTTTGGTGGAGTACGGCGAAAACAACATGGATTTTAACTTGGCCTTCAGAATCCACAAGTTGATCGAGATGGTTGGCGAAAGAGGCGTCAAGGGCATTGTGGAAATGTCCCGTGGTGTGAGGTCCGTGTTAATCGAATACAACGAGAAAATCAGCCAGGCCGATTTGGTGAAAACCTTGCTAGCGCTTGAAAAAGAGATTGTTTTCACCAACAAGTGGAAGGTTCCTTCCCGTGTGATCAAATTGCCCATGGCGTTCGAAGACAAAAAGACGTTGGATGCTGTCAAGAGATACTCCGAGACCATCCGCTCTGAGGCACCCTGGTTGCCCAACAACGTGGACTTTATTGCCTCCATCAACGGCATCGAAAGGTCTTCCGTCAGAGACATGTTGTACACTGCTAGGTACATGGTTTTGGGACTCGGTGACGTCTTTTTGGGTGCTCCTTGTGCCGTTCCCTTGGACCCAAGACACCGTTTGTTGGGAACCAAATACAATCCTTCCAGAACTCACACACCCAACGGATGTGTGGGTATCGGTGGTTCCTACATGTGTATCTACACCATGGACTCGCCTGGTGGATACCAATTGGTGGGCAGAACGGTTCCTATCTGGGATAAGTTGACCTTGGGTGCACATTCGCTGAAACCGTGGTTGTTGAACCCATTTGACCAGGTTGAGTTCTACCCTGTTTCTGAGGAGGAGCTCGACACTCTTACGGAGGAGATGTCTGCTGGTAAGTACCCTGTTGAGATCATCGACTCCGTGTTTGACCACGAACAGTACATCCGCTGGATTCAGGAAAACAGCGAGTCTATCGAGGCTTTCCACAAGACCCAAGGTGGAGAGAAGATGGAGGAGTTCAGCCGTTTGATCCAGGTTTCGAACGCCGAATTGGCTTCTGGAAAAACGGGCCCTGAGTTGAGTGAAGAGGACCAGTTTGACGAAAACGCCGAAATGGTTTATTCTGAATATTCCGGTCGTTTCTGGAAATCCTTGGTGGCTCCTGGCGACGAGGTGAAGAAGGGCCAGGCACTTATCGTGGTGGAAGCCATGAAAACCGAAATGATGGTTGTGGCCACCAGAGGCGGTAAAGTCGCCAAGATCATGCACAAGAACGGAGACATGGTCGATGCCGGTGACCTTGTTGCTGTGATAGAGTAAACGGCATAGAGTAAATATTTATCAATTGTATTATAGGACAGGTTGGTGTAGTCATGGAGTTGATTTTGAAACACTTGCAAATTTCAATAAGTTGAAATGGTGTCTATGTTTGGCTGGAAAGTTAGGGTTCTTTAGTTATACCATACAGTGTCTGGTTCATTAGCAGAATTGTGCTGGATAAATGGATAGTATCCCAATTTAAATGATGCCGATTTTTTAGATCCAGTTTATTTTAGTTTTAGTATCAAGAGCTCGAGGAAACAAGTCATGGAACTTGAGCTATCCATGTATCTATGTCCCAGAAACGCACCACTGAGCTGTAGTGCTATTATCAACACAGTCATCCCAAATCTCGAATTTCGACAAAATCCAAACAAAAGGGGATATAGGTCTTCCTTACATCGCTCTTTAAATACTCTGCTTGTTCTCCAACTCGTGGAAGATATTATGGAGACACGGTATTAAGCGAGCCAACTCTCCATCATACTAAACTAAACCCGTTCTGGACCACACGTTACCCCAAGAAATTCAAAAACCACGATCCTGTAATTCCACTAAATAAACCAGACACTCTTTCTACATTCCAGAATCTCCACCACCCCATTTTTCACCCAGACCTCGACGCCTATTGTACCAGAGTCGTGCGCGTCTGGTGAGCGTGTCTGAAAACATCAACTTCAACCAACAACAATAGAAAAACCGATAATATGGCTGACAAAATGAGTATGGCCGTGGCGTCGCTCCAGCCGGAGCAATGGACGGCGTCACTGAACGAAGCCTTGGCTATTTTTGTCACCGATACCCAAGGCAAAGCCCACAACTTTAGCCCACTTTTCACCTACCCTATCTTTGGCGACGCCGAGACCATTTTCGGGTTCCAGGGCCTCCGTATTTTCTTATGCTTTGACCTGGTGACGTTCTTGCCATTTTTAAACGTCAAGTACGAGAACAAGCTTCCAGACATCGAGGTGGACCCCAAAACCAAGTTGCTCGAGCTTTTGCCAGAACTGACCGTGTACAAGGACGAGGCCAAGTGGAGAGACACTATCGAAGAAGAGCAGAAGAACTTCGAAATTCCTGGTGAAAAAGTTGGCTCGGACTTCACTAAAGGTGGCGAGCTGTTTGCCATTTATAAGCTCGACTTGAGCTCACCTAGAGGTGTGGAGTTGCACAAGAGACTCCAGATTTTGGTGCTTTTATTTATAGAGGCCGGCACCTACATCGACTCCAAGGACCCCTTGTGGGACCTTTACGTCATGTACAACACGACCAACCCAAAACTTCCCGAGGTTGTTGGTTTTGCAACCGCATACAACTACTGGGTGTACCCGGGTCTGGCCGACTTTGACGCGGGCGTGAAGAAAACCCGTAAGAAGATTTCACAGTTTGTGGTGTTGCCCAACCTTCAAGGCAAGTCTCTTGGTGGAGAGCTCTACGAGAGATTGTACAAGTTCTGGTTAGAGGACGAGCGTGTGGTTGAAATTGTCGTGGAGGACCCCAATGAGAGCTTCGATGACTTGAGAGACCGTGTTGACTTCAGTCGACTTGTCAAAGACGGCAAGATTGACTTGACCGATTTGAGTTTGGACAAGGTGAACGAATCGTGGATCAAGGACTTTAAGCAGCGTGAAAAACTCGAGAAGCGCCAGCTTCTGCGATTGCTTGAGATGTTCTTCTTGTATCAATTGAAAAATGGACCTGTCAAGCCATCTAAAAAGGCTGTCAGGCTTTTCATCAAACGCAGACTTTTTGAAAAGAACAAGGAAGCTCTCAGCGGGCTTGATGAACCCACGCGTCTCGATAAGTTGCAAACTGCATACGAATCGTTAGAGGCGGATTATTACCGTATCTTAGAGCCGCTTGACGTAAACACGAAACGCCCAATTGAGGGTGGGTCCGGAAACGAGTCAACTGCAAAGAAACAGAAGAAGGAATAAGCTGCAGGATCACAATTCAGTGGCTAAGGTAAGCCGCGCGGATCTGTGGTAAACGAGCATGTTCCATGGACGCACTGCCTGCAGTACCTCGTCATCGGACACTAGTGGATGACCACCTTGTTGAGCAGAGGAGAGAAGTGACCAAGCGGTTGTCTGGGTGACGAAATTTGATAGACGATGATTTTTTCTTTCCAAGATTCGATCCTAAACTGACTTTGGCGGCACTACGTAATTTCCGGAAATTCCGCTCATCGCAAGTGATGAGCATCGAGATGACCATGTCTTCCCACAAATGTTCCACAAAGTTCTTAACCGCTAAGCACGTGTAAACCCTGGCCACAGTTTAAGCAGCCGTACCACGATGATGTCAAAAATGCAAAATCTCCGATGGCTTTGTATGAGACTCCCCGTCATATGACGTCAGCGGGCGACAGAAGGACAGAGGAATGAAAGAGAAGAGTGTAATGTCCTGCACAATGGAGCCAGTAGCCTGTTTTCCACCGGCGTCGGCGCGGTTGTCTGACCCAGTTGACGTTCCGACCGCGGCAACAAGGGCAGGCCAAGCAAAGAACAACCAGGGAGGTCATTTGCTGAAAATAAGGCGGGATAAATTATAATTGTTTGCTGGTTCACGGGTTTTCTTGGGTTGTTTTAAAATAGCCAATGTTGGATTCAGTGGATTAGTTTTTCCGTGGGGGGCCCAGGAAAGTGTCTGCACCACCTTCGCTCCGATGTATTGGCATCAGCGGTTTTTATTGGCCATGCTTGCTACTCACCCACCAGCTTGCTTTCTTGCTTCCCAATTAGGCCGAATTGTGGACGCAAACTGCGCATAAATAGCAAGTTATCTTGCGTGGGCCGCATACACTGTGTGCACGTCGATTGACCTTCGACGCAACCTCCTCCCTTGTGGTATAAAAGGAGCCAGCCCCCGGGAGATTGTGCCGAACTAGTCATTTAATCTATTCAGCCATGCACAGAACATACTCGTTGAGATCCCAAAAGGCCCCCACCGCTGCTCAATTGCAGTCCCCTCCACCTCCAACTTCCTCCACCAAGTCCAAGTTCTTCGGTAAGGGTGGTATTACCTCCACTTTCAGAAAGAACTTGGCCGGTGCCACTGGTCCAGAGATGTCCAGAAAGTTGGCCCAGTTCATTAAGATGGAGAAGAACGTCATGAGAGCTGTTGAGTTGACCGCCAGAGAGCGTCGTGAGACCGCTAAGCAATTGTCCCTCTGGGGTGAGGAGAACGACGAGGACGTTTCCGACGTCACTGACAAGTTGGGTGTTTTGATTTACGAGATTGGTGAATTGGAGGACCAGTTCATTGACAAGTACGACCAGTACAGAATCACCTTGAAGACCATCAGAAACATTGAGGCTTCCGTCCAGCCATCTAGAGACAGAAAGCAGAAGATCACTGACGAGATTGCTCACTTGAAGTACAAGGACCCACAATCTCCAAAGATCTCTGTTTTGGAGCAGGAGTTGGTCAGAGCCGAGGCCGAGTCCTTGGTTGCTGAGGCCCAGTTGTCTAACATCACCAGAGAGAAGTTGAAGGCTGCCTTCAACTACCAGTTCGACGCCATCAGAGAGTTGGCCGAGAAGTACGCCCTCATAGCCGGTTACGGTAAGGCCTTGTTGGAGTTGTTGGACGAGTCTGCTGTCACCCCAGGTGAGACCAGACCAGCTTACGACGGTTACGAGGCTTCCAAGCAGATCATCGTTGACGCTGAGAACGCTCTTGCTTCCTGGACTCTTGACGCTGCTGCCGTCAAGCCAACCTTGTCTTTGCACCAGGGTGAGGACGCCGAAGAGCCAGAGGCCTCTGAGTTGTACGAGGCCGAGGAGGAGTTCGCCAAGCACGACGACACCAACAACGGTGCTGTTGCTGCCTAAGCGCCCTTCCCGCTTCATCGTCATTTTTAATTCTGAATTCGATGTTTTTCTACTTTTTATCGCTGTCGGCTTCAACCGCTACGAAAAACAGTGCGCCTTCTGCGCCAACGCCTAATTAGTTATCGTAATTATGTTATATTAGCGAGCACATTATGATCTCAACCATCATCGTATGAATGAAGCACCCACGCTTTCTCAGCGGCGGGCTCATCACCAGGAATTATCTGGAGAGCACTCTTGGTTGCCAACTCCAAAACGGTTCCGAATGATTTGGCTGCTAGCTTGCGTGTTACTGACAAGTCCGAAGGACCGAGTGGCTGAGGTGGAAAAAGATCCACAAAGCTGATCTTGCGGTAGCCGCCGGACGGGGCCTGGTTTCCTTCCCAGTCGCAAAAACTGCCGTATTCGAACGAGCGCTTGTGGATATAACCGAGAAGCTTAAGTGCTAATTTGTGGAGGTTGCGGCCAACGGTCCCTTGCGACTCTACTTGCGATGAGGGGAACTGGAAGGAGGCATCCTCCAGAGTTTTGTCATTCAAGGTAAAAGACTCAAAGGTATCATCGGGCTCGAAATCTAGCATGGAGGCCCTGGCAAACTCAATGGCATCTGCCAGAATCTGCACGTTCCTGCCAAGTTCAACGTCATCCGTTCTTGCTTTCCACTGAGGAAGTCTAGAAGGTGGAATCGTTCCAGGCGGCGGTTCCAAGTAAAACTGTGTTGCTTGATTAAGATAGGGAGCAGCTGTGAGGCTCATCTCGCCCAATGTATCCCATATAGACTGCTTACGCCTCTTAGGAACAGAGGGTAGTGTATCGAACTCTCTAAGATAGAGTGGGTAGCAGAAGGAGTATGCTGTGTGGACCGTGACAGGATCACATACAATGTGTTTGCGTTTTGGACGAGACTCTCTCTGGTTCAAGGTTGAGCGGAGAACATTCAGTGTTGTAGAGAAGTGGGGGTCCTTTGAGTGGTCCCCACCTGGTTGATCCCTGCGCAAGTCCTCAAAATCTGCCTCCAAACCCGCCAAATCATGATTGATAGAGAGAATAGCTTGAGAGTTGATCTCTCCGTTTTCGTCGAACTCGAACCCAACTTCCCCTAATGTAGTCTCATTAGCTCTGATGGTGGCTAAGGTTTGATCAAGTATCTCATCCAACAGCTTGTCTAACGCGTCAGCCCGCTGAGCGTGGGATATGTAGGTATCGAAGCATTCCTCCACGTCTCGAAAGCCCTGTCTCTCTAGGAACCACTCGTCACAAGCGAAATCTTGCATTGTGAAGCTCCCACTATCAGGAAGTGGGACGTGCCTCCTCTGGTGGACCACCGCTTTCTCCTCAATCTGCCCAAAGAACACAGGTCTTGTCAATTTCTGATGCACATTTGCCACGTCCTCAAACACGTAATTGACCTGTTGTTTATGGAGTAGAGCTAAACCGTACATGAGGTTCAGGGCAAGACGAAGCAGCTTCTGCTTTTGAACCAGGCGACACACCTGTGGAATAGATACGCTAGTGATGTCTTTTTTGGAAAGCCTTCTTGTGTGGCCCACGGTTGCCATAATCCAAGCTGCACCAACGCCATCATTATGTGTTAAGTTCATAAATAGTAGAAATAAGTTGGAAGTATGGGGGATCTGGGTCTTTTATAGTAGACGCAGGGACCAGCAGATATTATTTAAGCATGGGATCTGGTTTACAGGGGGGACGTAGGCGCAAATTTTGGGATTTTTGATTTATAAAGTTTGCAATAGGTATAAAGAGGCTGTTGGGAAGGCATTGAGTGTTTTGAATTAGCTATGGTGGAGCAGCTTTGGTTGAGGAGTAGAGAGAAGTTCAGTCGGTGAGGCACAAGATACATCGTTATCTTGGGTTATTTAAAAGCGGTAGCTGATACGTTCATAATGTGTGCTGCTTGGTTCGTTTATAAGAATTGAATAAATAGATGGAAGAAGATAACACCGCTTATTTAGTTTCTGATCGGATTCCGTTTGGATGGCGTGTGAACGATGTATCAGCACTGAGGAAGGTCAACACGTCGATTCCACATGAAATGACTGGAAAATTGATTTTCCTTAGAATATTCAGAATGAATAAAGAAAAAATTGCTTCATTACTAGCTTTCTATTTTTTGGTCATTTCGGACATTGTGCACCATTTACTGCTCTGGAGCATTTTTCGCAACCATTTCGTAAAGCATAGGATTAACAAGAACACATACTGTTCCAACAATTACATCGAGATCCACATCTTTCACAGTAAAAATCAACCCATCACCAATTAAGATCACCTATATGGCTATCGCCAATCAAATCGAGCTGCATAACATAGTTGAATTGATTAAAGCAACACAACGGGATATACTGAATGACAGTGCAGCAGGCAAAATCCAAAACCCTCAAAGCACATCTTCTGCCAATTCAATCTACCACTACTACAGCCTTCATCCTCCTACACAGCCTGTCTGAGTACCCCAATGCACCACACTTGGACCAATAGCCGCCAGACTTCGACCCCTTATGGAGGCCGCCTCCGGGCTACTCATATCATTCAGGTCAATTGAAGATTTTGAAACGAACACCACTTGTGACACCACTTGAAGTCTGTCTTTACTGCCATAAAGGCTGCTTTCCTGCTATACATGCCGCTTATCAGTGTGGCTCGCCACAAGCCACATCACCACCAACCCACCAAAACCCCAGAAATTGTCGTAAAACATAAAAATTCCATAAATTTAAACCGGCTCGAACACCATATCCTCGAATTGACCATTTTCTCGGACAATGGCCGAAGTGTGGGACATTCCGTTCCTAGTCAGACGAATCGCGATCTCGGTAAGCGGCTGAGTCAAAGCCGTATCAGCACCATAAACACACACAAAGCATAGAATGTCAACTGCTCGGCAATTCACCAAACACCATCCTCCACCACCTCTTCGCCATTCAAACAAAAGGTTATTTTTTGACAATACCGGTACGGCTTATCAGCGTTCCTGCACACAGCCCGCCCCAGAAGGGTACTTAAGGTTGCCCTTTCCCTCACCTCCTACTTATCTTACTCCATGGTAGCTTTTGGTCGTCTTGCCGTGGCCGGCTTGGCTGCATCTGCGGAGGCTCTCCTGTTGCTTTCGTTCCCTGATATCTTCAACTCCGTGCCTAAACTCGCCGAGTCCCCCAAAATCATTTCCACTTTCCCTAACCAAGACGAGAGACCAATTCCTGGCAACAGTCCCATCATTCAGTGTGACGCCCAGACGCCACAATTGTTGGATTTGCAAAAAGTGGTGATTGACCCCAACCCTCCTGCCAAGGGCCAGAACTTGACGTTTGTGGCTGAGGGCGTCTTGAAGCAGTCCATCACCGATGGCGCTTACGTTGAGGTGGATGTCCGCTACGGCTTCATTCGTTTGATCCACCAGACGTACGACTTGTGTGAGGAGGTGCACAATGTCGACTTGGAGTGTCCCATCAAGAAGGGCGCCCAGACCATCCTGAAGCAGGTGGCGATCCCTGAAGAGGTGCCCCCTGGCAAGTACCTCGTTGTGGCTAGAGCCTATACCAAGGAGGATGTGCTCATCACCTGTTTGACCGCCTCGGTTGAATTCCCGCCAAACTAGCGTAGACCGCCTAGATAGTAATTCACGTTCAGATGTCATGGTAGTTGGTGTAGAGACAAGGAGGTACAGACTCAGAGACCCGATTGTTGGGTCAATTTACAAGAGGCTCCCTATCAGCACAATTATGCAATATGCCGCTAGACTAATTTACAAAGTGATGTATGACGCTTGAATAACTTAAATAATAATCGCAATGACTGTTAATGACTATGCTGAAAGCACAAGGTTCGCTGTTAACGAATCGAAGCGTTCCTTGGACAACTTCGTCTGCACATGTAAAAGCTCACTGTAGACGATCTGTCCCTCGTTTGTTTTAAGAAGCTCCTTGATCTTCCTCTCACTCAAACGCCATGCCACAGTTTCGACAACAGTCGTGTAGGTGATTTGTCTGTACTGACTGAGTTCAAGGAGATCACCAAAGGCAGTGTTGGGCAAAATGCTGGAGTGCAATTCTCGATCGTCACTTTCGAACTTGCAGATCTGTCTCACAAGTCCTGACTCGAGAATGAAGAAAGAGGGCCTCTTGCAGTTCGTGTCGTAGAAACACATATCAGAAGGAATCGTCTCCTTCGTGAAGTATGGGGCAAGCTTGGACCAGAACTTCTCATCCTTACTTGAGAGGTCGCCAAAAGTGATCATGATCAATGGCAATGGCTGTTTCTTGAATGAGGAGTCCGAGCTCAGGTAGTACCTGTGTTGTATTTTTTGCTCATCATTGGCTGTCCTTGTAGCGGCTTGGTAGATCTGCTTTGTCCTTGGAGTCCCGAAATTGAGCGGATAATTCTGCATCACCAGCTTGCTCATGCTATGATGGCGCTTGTCTGGGTTGTTAGACGAGGGCACACCTCTCAAGGCCATTCTATGATTTCCACTATGGGTCAGGCCCTGAAGATTGGTGTAAGTTTTCAAGAATGAGTTTTCACACCACTCAAGAGCGTAGTTCAAAGTGCTGAACATCTGGACCTGAAGCGTCTGGGAGGACGACTTGACACAGTCCCAGAGACCAGCGTCTCGCAATGCAGTAACACTATCGTCGTTCTCTTCGACAGAGGAGATGATAAGCTGTGTTTGGAATTCCCGTGTCAAGTTGAGAATTCTTCTGAAACCTTCAGCAGCAGAGAAGTCAATGGAATCCACGCCCTTCATGTCAATGATGAGGAACTTGATGGGGTTCAAGTTGAACTTTCCATGCTCAAAGCGTGCTCTGATGGTCTTTTCAACACCACCGATAGACCCAAAGAACAACGTTCCTTGGAGCTTGACAACGCAAATCTGATTGCCCACATCCTTCAAAAACTCCTGCTGTTTTGGATGTCTCAAGACAGTTGAACGAGCAACCACACCGGTGTAGATGCCTCTGACAACTGGTCTTCTAGCAGCTTCAATGACGAATAGTAAGCAAGCAAGCAAGATACCTGCCAAAATACCGTACACGAAATCCCAGGCACCCATGACAACAACGATGATAATAATTGTGGAGTATTCGATCTTACGAAGGCGGCCCCAGGTATCGTAAATAGCCTCCTTCAAGAGTTCATAGCCCAAAAGGAAGATAAGAGAGCCAACGACGCAGACAGGAATATAGCCAATAACCACAGGACCTGCCATCATAACACAAGCTGTTGCAATCGCAAGGAGCACTCCTGCAAGTCTATCATCTGCACCGGCTCTGATGAAGAGTACAGAGTTCGTGTAGACAAGATAGTTTTGCACGGAGCCAATGAGGCCTGAGATAGCGTTTGAGAAACCATGGGCAACCAACTCACGATCGACGTCGAATTGGTCCATTCCCACAGTCACAGCGAGCGCTGGAACGTTGATCGGAACATGCAAAATGCCAAAAAATGTGAGTGCCAACATCTTGGGGAACTGTTTGGTGATGGCCATCCAGTCGATGAGAGAAGGCCTCAAGTAGCTGTAATGAGCGTACCAAGGATCATGGTTGACGACGGCGGGGAAGACCCAACCGTAGTTTCTGGCCTTGTCGAGATCCCAGTTCGTGACAAGAGCAACCACAATATGGAAGACCACGAATACAATGATGAAGTAAACCGGCACGAGAAGGGAGTGGTGGATGCGCTTGTGGAGAAAGATGAGGACCACTGTAAGAAGGACCGGAAGAAGCCATTGCATGAGGGTGATGTAGTTTCCAAAAATGAGCTTGGCTGTTTCCCAGTCGTAGCGGATTCCGCCTTCTAGTCTTGAGGACACTTCAATGCCTGTGACGATCAAAAAGTAACCCACACCACCGATACATCCGACCAAGATGTGTCTTGGAAAGAACCCAACCAAGGCGCCGAGTCGAAGTTTACCGAGGAGGAAGAACACGATACCGGTGACAACAGCCGATACAGCGAAAGACACAAATGTGGTTGCAATGATAGCTTCTTTCGCCACGTCTGGTGAACCGCTTTTCATGTCAGCCTGGATGGAAAAGGCCATGGCGTGAAAGAACGGCGTAACCTCAATCATTTCCGAGCCGATACCAGCTTTGAATGCTGAACCTCCTAAAGAGTACACCAATTGAGACACGATGGTGGAAATGTAGAACATCGAGAGACCGGCAGGTGCCATGTCAGCAAACAAGGCCTCGCCAATGGGGAACATGATCATACCGTAGGAAAGACCGTCCAAGACGTTCAAAAGCACACCCAAGAACACGGCGGGAAGGTATTGCACAGGCCGTAGCAAGTGTGTCCTTATAGACGGTTTAGGAGGAACAGCGTCCAAGGGGCCTTGTTCTAGGCGACCTGCCCAGTTTGCATCGGGACCCATGGAGCCGTAGACCGGTCCAGCCTCGCCCACAGTATCCAGATCAACATAGAACTTCTTGTTTTTGTCCACAAGTGGAGTGGTGGATTCCACGTCTTCTTGAGCCAGATCTCGAGAATGCAGGCTGCTGGACCTGTCCTCCCAGATTGGCTCCTTCAAGCTTTTCAGCGAACCTTCGCCTATGGGAATGGGTTCATGTTCTGATACGTACTCGTCCAGAAAGCCCGGATCGACCTCTTCCTGATCGTCGCCAACAACACCTATCGAGGCCAAGTCTGCGGTTTGTCTGTGGACTTCATCTCCGGACAAAACCACCGGCAGATGTGCCGAAAGGGACAGTCTGTGGTTCACCAGAACATAGGAACGACCTAGTTCGTAGTGGCTCTGGTCTGGAGTGGACATGTGCTGATTGGTGGAAAATGCCGCTTTTTGTTATTGTAGCTGGTCTGACAGAAATGCAGGCCGAAGCAGTGGAAATTAGGCAAGGTCCATGGACCGATATATATGGAAGTAGTTGGAGGATCTCTTTTCCACCGTCTAGATATCTCAGGTGCCGGACATGAGCTCTGATAAGCGCACAAATTGCAAGGATTCCGATGAGTCAGGAACCACAGGGGAGGAGAAGAGGGGAGAATGGAAATTGTAGGATTCCGTTGAGAATGATTAGTTTAGTCATGAATTGGGGTTTTTTTGGTTGGAATGGTGTTGGAGGGTGGGTTGTGGTGTAGGAGGCCTAGATCAGAGTCACAAAGCGAGAAGCGAGATTAGTGAGGTGAGAGCCACATATTAGTGGGTTTGGAAGGGAATTTTTGGTTAGAGATTGGTGGTTTGGGAAAAAGAGGTTGTGATTGAAGACGTGATTTTTTTGAATTTTCAGTCCAAAAAATATAGTCTTTGAGTTCTGGGGCTTATTGGCTCAGCGCAATAGTGACAATTCCCACGAGGGTGAAAATGTGAAAATTCGTAGTCGTCTTTAAGATTCACACATGTGTCTATTGATGTAATAAGGGAGAGAGATCAAAGTTCACTCCCTCAATTGAATGTAATTTATTGAATTGTAAAATGGCAAGCAACGTTGCTCAAGGAGCTGCAGCATCGCCGTCAGACAAAGCCTCGTCAATTACGAAATCAGCACTTTCAGCTATCTACCGAGGGCTATGCCTGAATTAAAAATATCTTCGTCGGTCTTTAGACTTCTTCACTCGAGGTGCTTGAACAATGCCCATTGTCTGAACTATTACTCACACCTGAGCGAAGGAAGGACCGTTCTGACCGCTTCGTGAAATAACACTATAACTATGAGGATGGAATAGAGGCAGACATTGCAAAAGTTCAGTAAAATCGAAGCCATGTTCTTCATTCTAAGAAAGCAGATTATTCATTCATCGTCAGTATCTCGATTCGAGGGCCAATATGGCACGCATCCAGCAGACCCGAAAACTGATATAGTACCTCCAGAGACATTATAGCTCTATCATTTCTGCTCTTGAATCAATGCTCTATGAAAATGCAAAATGGAGCCTTATTGACCTTTCTCGCCGTCAACATAAGTGAAACTTCAAGATTCCACCACCACAGCCTACCCCATGTTTCACAAAAAACCACCAAAACCACAACTCCACTACAATTCAACGGACCCTGGCTTATTCGAGCCGATGAGGAAAGTGCTGCAGGGTCGAGATACCCGAATAGTTGAAAATCTGTAGGATTCACGCACCCCCGATAAAACGATCTACAGAGCCATTCGGTGGCATTCAGGAGCACATAATCGTATTGTTAGAGATCCCATTATCTTTTCTTCCATTCAACGCCTCCTATTGTTTGGAATCAAGAGCATTTCAATATCCAACCATCAATTTTCAGTTTAAACAGTTGAAGCTTACTTTCTTTCGGAGTGCCCTCGACGCACTGGCTAAATAATACGGAGCCGCTGGTCTCGAGGTACATATCCGGAATGTGCAAAATTGCCTAAGTAGGAAAACATATAAGGAAGGTCCAAGGCCGTAGGCGAAAGTTTATATGAAATTCAAGGAATTGAAGGAAGATAAAAGGAGAAACGACTTTTGGCTCTCTTTTCAAAAAGTCCACAAGTGCCATCTCGGTATCCTCATGGTCTGGATGTTCGCAGCAGGAATGGTTGCAAAAAGTTGAATGCACCCCAATACAGACACCACATCTCCACCTGATGTCTCAAAATACTCGAGATGTTTCATGTTGGTGATAAAATATCCGAACCACGCCGCTACGGCGCCCAATTCGGTAACTTCTCTGATATGCTCCATCCCTATAAGTACCACCGTCCAGCCTACACATCCACCACATGCTTATTCTTTCGTTTCTCATATGGGCCGTGGCTGTCTCGGCCCAGTTCATCAAGCCCGTGAAGCCTTCTGACGACGACTTCTACGACACTCCTTCTAACATTACTTCCTACAAGAACGGTGATATCATTAATGCCAGACCAGCTCCAGCCATGATCCGGTCTGTCTATTTTCCAGTGAATGTCAAGAATGCATGGCAGCTTTTGGTGCGTTCGGAAGACTCCCACGGGAATCCCAATGCCATCGTCACGACGGTGTTGGAACCTTATGATGCAGACCCAAAAAGGGTGGTTTCTTACCAGGCAGCCCAGGACTCTGCCACCCAGGACTGCAGTCCTTCATTCTCGTTCTTGTTCAATGCTCCCATGAATACGATCATTCTCCAGGTCGAGATGGTTCTTATCCAGACCGCATTGGCGAAAGGGTGGTATGTGGTTGCACCTGACTACGAGGGACCCAAGGGCTCCTTTACTGCTGGTATTCAGTCTGGTCAAGCTGCCATTAATTCGCTTAGAGCTGCTTTGAATTCTGAAGATGTGACTGGAATTGACCCTAACGCCAAAGCAGCCTTTTGGGGCTACTCGGGTGGTACTATAGCTTCTGGATGGGCTGCTTCTCTCCAGCCTAAATACGCTCCAGAGCTCAAAAAGAATCTTGTGGGTGCAGCTCTCGGTGGCTGGGTCACCAATATCACACTCACTGCTGAAATCACAGACGGCACGATTTTCGGTGGTTTCATTCCTAACGCTATCAACGGCATGCTCAATGAGTACCCTGAGGTGCAAGATATCTTGGACAAGGAGCTTAGGGAGGATAAGGTGAAGCCTTTTGAGGATGCCAAAGAAAAGTGTCTTTTCAATTCCATCATTGACTACATGTTCTTGAACTTCTTTGGTGGTAAGAAGCCATGGGTGAACAGTGGATGGAAATTCTTTGATTACCCCTTGGTGAAGGAGATTGTCCAGAACAACACCGCAGCATTGTTTGAAGACGGGCCTCGTCCTGAAATTCCACTCTTTGTTTTCCACGGTACCGAGGACGAGATTGTGCCGTTTTCTGGTGCAGAAAGAGGATACAACAACTACTGCAAATGGGGCATTGACAGTTTTGAATTTGCCGTTTCAAACACAACAGGCCATATTCTTGAATGGGCCGAGGGCAGTGGAGCTGCTTTGGTCTGGATAGAGAAAATGTTCAATGGAGAGAAGCCAGTGGATGGGTGCAAAAGAACAGAAAGATCCACAAACGTGCTTTATCCTGGAGCGGACGTGCAATACAGGCAATTGATCCGTACGCTCTTCAGTTCTATTAATGGAGGGGAAATTGGTGAAACCACAAGAAACATTACGGATTCTACCATGGTCAGTACCATAATGCAGCATGGCATAAGTGCGCTACTTGAGAAGATTGGTCCTATTCCATTCAAGAGGGACCTTTCAGAAATGGATATTCTTGAGTCTCCAGAGTTCAGAGGTATCAGTGATGTCGTTCGTCGGTGGAAACAGCAGAAAGCATAGTCATACCCTACAATCGTCCACCATAAATACCTCCTATTTAGCTATTTATTATTATGGCAGGCCCGGTGAACATCAGCCAATTATGCTGCTTAACTTCTCCGCTCATCTGGGTCATCTGGTCAAAAGAGGGAATCGTTCTCTCCGAAATAGTGATGGTGTTTTTCTTGAACACAAATATAGAGTTTGCCTGGTCTTCAGTGAAACGACGAAGAAGTTTCATGTAGTAAATACCACACGCATTGCACAAGGATCTACAGCCTGTGGGTCCTCTTCTCCATTCTGGTGTAGACGTCAATCCACACTGGTGACAATGCGTATTTGGCTTTTTGCCTCTGCCTTTGGATTTGGACTTCTTCTTGGACAGTCTGCGTTTCTTTGGCAGATGGTGTTTTGAGTTGTACTTTGGCGAATTGCCGGGCTTCTTAATTAGGTCTGTTGATGCTGGACTTGAGGAACCCATTGAACCAGTTGAACTGCCACTTTGAGAAGACTCAAGAGAACTTCCACTTGGAGAATTTTCGCTATTTGATCCACTTGAAACTCTTGTGGGTGATCCACTTGAAACTCTTGTTGGTGATCCAAGATTGTTCAAGTTGGTGGGAACTGGTGATGGAAGAAGGGTGTCCTTGATAGACTCAAAGGAATTGGTTCTGGCTATAGGCTGAGCCATGTTGTTGTGGTTGGGTACCTTTCCCATTTCCCTAGGTGGAGTGGTTGCTGCTGTGGAGTTTGAAATATCCGAAACAAACAGCAGTGTTGATGCTGGACTCCAGTGCATATGCTGACCTTGTGGATGAGACTCGTATTCCTTGATCTTCATCAAGATCTCTGCCACTGAAGGAAGCCTGACAGGCTGGATATCCCTTCTGACGCAATAAGGCGGAAAGTGGGGATAGTTGTGGTAGGAGGACTTTTCCCAATCGGCGACGTAAACCATGATGTAGAGATATTGATTCTAGCTAAGGTGCTGGGTATTTGTATGAGTAGAGGTTTGGTAGAGGGGCTGTGCTGTGGATTTAGGCAAGAATAGCGATTTGATGACCTAAGTGGAAGAATGGTATAGGTATGTTCTAGCCAGGGCTTGTGAGAAGCTGTGTAAGGAAGAGAGTGGTTTGTGATTTGTGCGTTTGCAGCCATTTATGGTGAGTGAGGTCCTCAAGGACACAGCGGTTGGTGAGTTTCATGCTACTGTGGTGATAGTGACGAGGCAGGGAAGATTAGTTTTGTTGGGATTTGATGATGAAGAGTCTCCAAGATAGGAAACTTTTGTGAATGGTGTTGGTTTTGATCGCTACGTCTGGACCATTGATTGAACATGCATGACCCACACTACCGAAAGAAGATGGTGAGGTCTTTCTTCAGTCTAAACCTAGTCAAGAACATAAGGTTGACTCATAATTGTCGTAAATTAGAGGGTAACATGGTCAGTGGTAGACGGGTTAAGTGAGACCCTCTCCCATCAAAGGACTCTACGCTCCATAGGTAGAGCAAATGCCATTTACCTGTTGCTATACAAAACTAATAAAATAGGGCAAGTTAGTAAATGGAAAGACTTTCAACGATTATGGGCTTGATAAGAGATCAAAAAACATGTTTTCTACCTCCAGCTTGACAAACCATCGTTAACAGAAATAGACACAGAGGACAAAAAAGAGACAAAAGACACGAAAAGTTGGAAGTTTCACGCTTGATAAACCTAAAAACCATAGTCATATCTCATTCCCAAACAGCTTCCCTAACTCCCTCTCCCCTAAGCACCTTCCCCTATTGAGTCTCAGAGTACCACTATAGCACCCTTCACTGCACCAATCAGCACCTCCAAACCCTTCCGTAGATATATCACATTCCTAAAAACTCCCCATTACCTTATCAAGAAATCTTACAACCTGCCTGTAACCCACGGCACTCTATCGCTTTCGCCGCTCTATCCCTCTCGTATAGCCTCAGGTCACCACCTTCCACCAACGTCACCCAGCAACAAAAAAAAAAACCAAACTCAAAAAATACCACCACCACAAAACCAACCCTCCACTCAAACCCAAAATCCAAACTTCCCTCCGAGGTCGGACCACTCCACGGTCACCGTTGAATACTGTACCGAGACAGCCGGTTGCAAACGCTCAGCGACCCGTGGTACCCCTGTAAAACACGAAAACAAGACCATTTATAAATTTTTAAAAAACGCCGCTATCTTCAAAACCAAAAATATCCAGCATTTTTTAAACATCTCCAAAAAATTAGTCGGGTCACCCCTGCCCTGAAGGGGCCTCTTCCCCTAATACATCATCTCGCTGCCCCAGAATGCACTAGACCGCGCCGCACTCTAAACCTACATCACCACCTACCACTCTTTCCCATGTCTGAAGAAGCACCCTTGTTAGGGACGTCTAGACAGCGATACATCAGCGATGAAGAAAACACAAATGGTCCTGAACTCAGAGTTCCAAATAATACCGAAATAGAGGGTTCCCTGGGCTCCGCCTCGTCTCCAGAGACCACTGTGGGGGAGGAGCTGTTGAAAACACGGCCTTCGTTGCGGGAAAAGCAGCGCCAGTTTCTACGGAAGCGGTTCTGGTGGTTCTGTATTTTCGGCTTGCTAGCGTTGATCGTGCTCCAGCTTTCGTTTCTCCCTCGAACCTCGCTTAACCGGGACTTCAGAAGGTGGCACGACTTGCACCTCAACAAAACAGACCTCAAGCGGATCTTTTTGGCCCAGTTGAAGATCGGCCGCCCGGACGACACGGGCGTGACCAACGAGGAGCACATTGGCGAGTGGCTACGTAACTTCACCAACATCAACAGCCAGGGCGTCATAGTGGCCGATAAGAACTACCCCGAGTTGGCCTCCTTCGTGGAGAAGCGCTTTGCCGACTTTGGGCTTTCCACGCTGTCGTACGAGTACGAGCTTCCCAGGCTGCTCAGGCTTCCGGGCTCGTCTAGAGTTGAGCTCTTCGACTCCGAGTCACACAGGGTCTTGTACTCCGCTGACTTGGAGGAGGTCACGAGCTCCTGGCGCTTCAAGGACATCAAGACGCCCGCTTTCTTTCCGTTTGGATCCGTGGGCTCCGTGTCCGGCGACTTTGTCTACGTCCATGGCGGCACGCCCACAGACTACGACTTGCTCGAGCTGAACGGCATCTCTGTCGTGGCCAAAACCGCCTTGCTCGCTAGTCTGGAGTCCAAGGACTACTCGGTGACCGACCGTGTCAACTACGCCATCTTCAGAGGCGCCCAGGCTGTGGTTGTCATCGGCTCGGACGACTTGAAGCTGACCGTGCTGAGAAACTACAAGCCAGCCGAGGTGCCAAAGCCAGAAATGTTGCTCCCGGCGAGCCACGACTCCATGAAACCTATATTGGAGGCATTGGGCCCTGGAAGGGGTAACTTCTCCCACTGGAAGTTTGCGCCATACTCCAAACTGCTTCGGCTCAGGGTATCCGCGCAGGACAACGGCCGTGCTGGTTCTGCCAAAGTGGTTTTTGGGTCTATCAAGGGCGTCATGAACGATGGTGAAATTGTTATTGGCGCCGCCAGAGACTCGCTTACGTCTTTGAACCCCAGCAGTGGACATGCGATCATGTTAGAGGTCATGAGAGCGTTCAAGCGTCTTCGTAAACTTGGCTGGAAACCGTTGCGTACCATCAAATTTGTTTCATGGGATGCCTCAAGAAGCAGCCAGCTTGGCGCTAAGGCAGCGTTGCTGGATACGAATATCTTCCCAGATAATATGCCATTGATCGCTTACATCAATCTAGACGAGGATGTGGTCACTGGAAGCCATTTTTCTGTCGACCTGAGTCCAATGCTCAACCACATCATCAACCAGGTCGCTGACATTGTGCCATTTTCGAAGAACTCAACAGCCTATAAGCGTGTCATGAAGCTGTCTGGCGAAGAGTTACCCGAGGACGATGACGATGATGAGACTTCGTTGTATCGCTACTGGCATAAAGAAAGTGGAGCAAAGATCAACAACATACTTGGAGATACCTTTACTGCCAAAGACGCTGGCGTCTTTCAGTTTAGAGGTGATACCCCTGTTGTGAACTTCAAATTCTCCGAAAGCTCGCAACACAATGAATCTACGTATGTCCCTGAGCTGGACCAATACTCCTACAGCTGGTTGAAGGATATTGATCCCGACTTTGATCTTCATGGCCTGTTGGTGCGTTTCCTTGGCCTCCTAGTACTTTCTTTAGAGGAGCGTGAAGTGATCGACTATCGTTTGGAACCTTACTTTGACTTGGCACAACAGCGGTTTTCCCTTTTCCGCGAGGTGATGGGCAAACAGCTCGATGAATGGCGGTCCGAAAAGGTTGATTCTTTCATCCTCGAAAAGTCTACCATTCTCAAGGACATTCTAGAACACAGAAAGTCTACTGCGTACTTTGCACCCGGGTTCTGGAGTCTCGAGAATGAGGAGGTGACCGTCGAGGACGTGCTTGAACAATTTGACAAGCTCCTCAAGGACGCAAGTGCACAATCTTTGATTTTCGATGCCTACAACCATGATGTCGAAAACCTCCTCACTGAAGATTACCCTTGGTACAAGCTACTCAAGAAGGTCCACATCTATGCAAAGTTTAAAGTTACAAATTACAAGCTCTTACGTGTGGAGAAGGATCTTGCTGCAACTGATGACGATATCGACTATGGCGGGGATATTGTCAAACGCCACTTTATGTACGAGGCTCCTGTCAAGAAGGGGACCTGCTATAACGCGAAGGAGAAAGAACAGAGGGGAGCGTTTGCCGGACTTTTCCGTTCGGTCGAAGAGGGCGACTTAGAGCAGCTAATTAGGTTGATCAGCGTGAGGTACGAGCATCTTCACGTTATCCACAAGAAAATACAATAAGTATGGTTTGGTTGAAATTATGAATATTTGGCGTGGAATGATCCATTTGCAGCCATTTCCGCGGCGAGAAAAAGAAAAGCAGCAGGAATGTACGGCAGTGCGAAAAAAGATATATTGTCTGGGGAATCTTTTTTAATCACCTGGCCTCATCGCTTTTTGCATTACTTCGAAAATGAAAGATCTTAATCAGATATTTTCGATTCAGATCTTCTTCATTATCCTTAGGGAGACGCTAGAAACGGCGATCATCATTTCGGTGCTCCTTTCGTTTATCAATAAGAACAACCCCCAGCCAGTTCAGGAAGACGTGGATGAATCGGAGGAGGCTTTGGCTGAGAGACGTGCCAAAGTAGCACACGTTAACCTGGTTAACAGGGGCCTTCGACTTCAGGTTTGGCTCGGTGCCATCTGTGGTTTGTTGGTTTGTCTTATAATCGGTCTTGTCTTCATCACCCTTTTCTATTTTGTGGAGAAGGATCTCTGGTCATACACCGAGAGACTTTGGGAAGGTGTCTTCTCACTTCTTTCCAGTGTCATCATCACAATTATGGGTATCGGTCTTCTCAGAATCAATAAGTTCATGAAGGTCAAGTGGTGGGTCAAACTTGGCGACGCATACGCTACTCAGCAGCCCAACAAGCTTGATGCAGACACTAACATGACCGAGATGGATGACTTTGCCGGCGTGTCTTCCTCGCAAGACTCGGACGCTCTATTGGGCCATGCCAGCACCCCTCCAGTCAAGAAGGAGCAGAAGGATGGCTTCACCAGCAGATACTACTTGGCCATTTTGCCATTCGTCACTACCCTTAGAGAGGGCCTTGAGGCTGTTGTTTTTGTTGGAGGTATTGGTATGTCCCAGCCTTTGACATCGCTTCCGCTTGCCGTGTTGGCTGGTGTCGCTTCTGGTGCTGCCGTGGGCTACACGTTGTACAGAGGAGGTAACAAGCTCTCGCTCCAGTACTTCTTGATCTGCTCAACATGCTTCTTGTACATTGTCAGTGCTGGACTCATGAGCCGAGGCGTTTGGTTCTTGGAGTTGGAGAGATACGTGAGACTCTGTGGTGGTCTTGATGTCAGTGAGACCGGCAGTGGTCCTGGATCCTACGACATCTCCACTGCCATCTGGCACGTGAACTGCTGCAACGGTCTTACTGATGGCTGGTGGATGGTGGCCAACGCCTTGGTGGGTTGGACCAACACGGCCACGTACGGCAGTGTGTTCTCGTACTTGGCATACTGGATTCTCGTATCGTTGTGGCTCCGAGCCAAGTTGTACGAGGAGAAGCATGGCAGGTTGCCATTGATTCCCGTGAGATGGCAGGTGAAGAAGATTAGAAAGAAGTTGAAGCTTTACGAGGCAATGCACAAGCAGCAGTTGACCGCCGAAGGCGAACGTCAGGCTGAAGCTGCGGCATACGTCGCTTAGACAGCATACGATGCATAGGGCAAAACGCAAATAGGATGGAAACTAGGTTAATAAACCCGGCGCATGAACGTGGTGTAGGCTCTGTTTTGATTTCATTGGTTTCTCGAGTACTACATAATCGTAGATCACGGACTTCCGCATGGTGAGCTTGTCGATTTTGTGTCGTGAATCTTGACAAGCACAGCGGTCTCCATGCATCTATTGCAGAAACCGTAAACATTGTATCAAGTTGAGCGGCTTTAACCTGGTGAAAGTGTCGTGTATGGCTGAAGTGACAATTGCGTTTCTTCAAATGGTTGCAAAATGCCCATCACCATGATGTTACGACAATCACATCTATACCTTTTCCTAGCTTAATTCGAAAATTACATCCAATTGGATGAGTATCCCCAAGTACACAGCCCTCCAGTTCACCAAAGCCATCTTATCAACGCTACCCATCGTTTAATGCTGGCACGCACTTTAGCAGTACTACATTAGAAAGTCGACACGCTAAGACCCGTTTTGAGCCCATATCGAGTCTCACCCTCAAGCACGCAATTAAGTAGGAAATGCAAAACCTGATTGGCAAAAACAAGTGATTTTCGGGTTACGGGTGCCTGTCCCGTTCTGGCATTATCAAATCTCACAATGAGACCTCGGGTCAGGGTCCTCTACGTCATGGCGCCATGGATCTCATTGCACATCCTCAAACCTTAAATATAGTTTCGATAAGCCAATGTGTGGTGATTTTCTGGATCTAACCAAAACGCTTTCGAATGACCCCAGGTCGTTTCTTCGTATTTGTGCTACTCGTTTACGCTTTCCCGGTCTCGAAATCATGCCAAGGCTCCTGTACGTCTTCGATGTAGGGTGCCTACGATGACACCAGTGGATCAATGATGTTTTGGGTAGTTCGCTTTTTAATTCGTTGAAAGCAATAAATAGACGAAATGCTGACGATTGTAATTTACTGGTCACCAAAAACTCGTTTCGAAAAAAGGCGGTCAACCCCTATACCCATGGATGGCCCCTTCTTGGCTGATCGCGTTTTCGCAGCCATTGCCAGGAACAAGCCCCCCTGGATCCAGAGAACATTTATAGGAATAGTAGCCGGCCAACTTGCAAAAAACCGAAAAACACACACCTTTTTATATCCTCGGGAGCTCCTGCCCACCCGCCGTAAAATAGCCTTGTGTGCACCGCGACTGTGCATTCCGAGGTGAGATATCAACACCAAAATAAGCAGGATCGAGCTGATCTACAAACCTCATTCTTACCCCGATTTCAGCCACCCCGTTATTCAAACGCTGATACCATTTTACGTTTTTTCCGATGACGGATAGCCCCACGTTGGAGTCCACCAATAGGCTCCTTCACGACCTCGAACGAAAACTATCGTTGGGTCTGGAGGCCTCTGACCAAACCCACCACTCACACACGTCCCATGCTTCGCTGGTTATAGTGGACCATACCGTGGCGGGTCTTGCCCGCCTGAGCATCCAGCTGAGTGTGTTGCTGTACATCAAAAACAACGATTCTGACTTTGATGCTGATCTGGTGTACCAGGACCGTCAACAAAGACATGTCACCCAGTTTGCGAGGGAATACTCGCCCAGCACGGCTCCCAAGGTGGAGAAGGTGGAGAAAGAGGTCGACGAGACGCTCTTCAACGGCTCCTTTGAGAGTCTAGATCGAAGTTTAGAGGACCAAGACGATTACGACGATTACGACGATTTTGGTGACGAGGACGACGAAGAGGACGACGACATGCTCCTACCGCCGCTGCCTCCGCGTCTGCCTCCGCGTGAGATGGACCCGGACAAGCTCTACGGGCTCTACGACTTCCTGGGGCCCGATCCTCTGCATTGCACACTCTCGAGAGACGAGCCCGTGTACTTGGTCAACGACCTGGACAACTACTGGTGGCTCATCAAGAAAATGACAAAGAAGGAGCGCTTGCACCTAGGGAGGCAGCGCCAGGAGCTGTTCCCCGAGATCTCGGACGACGAGGATGGGAAAATCGGCTTCGTGCCAGCAGAGTGCCTAGAAACGTACGGCGAGCGTCTTGCCCGACTCAATTGCTTCAAGAACGAAGAGCTAGAAAAGAGCGGTGCAGACCCTCTTGCGCCTGAAGCACATTCTAAAGAGAGCATCGACTCGGTTGTCGAGTCCCACAGCATACAAGGTTCGTCCGAGAGTGTCCAGGGCGCCCGCCAGACCCCACTTTTGGGAAGAACCGGCTCTATTCTTAAAAAGAGCGGAAGCTTGCGCCAATCCAATAAGCTGGTCACATTTGAGAACCTCGGGGCGCTTGTTCTCGAGGGAGAGATCTCAGACACAGAGTTAATTGACTTTGCCGATCTGTACTACAGCTTCAGCCACGAGGATCTCCATCATCCACAAGAAGACGACGAACGCCAATCGGAAGTGCTCAGCGACTTGTACCCAGCGGAAATGCCACTCCAGGTCAGCAAGAGCCCTCGCAAGAAAAAGCCGGACTTGACTGACTTGCAGCCACCTAATTACGACACAAGCTCCATTGGGTCTTTCTCCCCCGACACGCCCCCAATTGGCCATTTTCAGCACGATGAAGAGCACCGCACACTCCGGCGCTCGCTAATCATGGATCGTCTATCGCAGGTCACCATGGATATACAAGAGCAGATGAGCAGCGACAACGATGACTACACCTGTGATGTCTACAGCAGCTACGGAGACGACGACGAGAAAGCACGCGGAGACGATGCTTTCCTGGACTGCTCCCAGGACGATAACGTCACGCCCTTGACAAGCACCAATTCGCTCAATAACGTCGCTCTGTCACCTAAAAGAGTATCTTCAGCTCCTGTTGGGAAGAAGCCACGTAACGAAATCGTGAGTCCCATTCTCGGCAAGCTCGATGAGCTAACAGAGAAGCTAGCCGAGCTCGAGCACATGTTGTAGTTGCAACCAGTGCGGTCACAGCTACCCAGCATCCAATGCATACACTAATTTAAACCACCTGGAAAAGGCCTTGTATCTCTTCAGTTTGAACTCCTACTCTATCTCCTTTAACTCCCAAACCCTATATATCCACATAGTGGCACCTCACAATGCCGGCATCTCATCACCTACACCATCTTCAACACTTCGCACAAAAAACCACCAACCTTCTTCACAATGTGGACTGCAGATCCAGGGGCTCTCGAGCAGCTCAGGACCATATTTAAAGGAACCTTGTCCTCCCGTAAAGCGGAAAGGTCCCAAGCAGTGGACGCCTTGAAACAGGCGAGAGAAGAACCCGAGTTTGAAAACTACCTTGTGGACCTCTTGATCAGAGACGAAGCTGGATCTGATGTTAGAGCCGCTGCGGGACTCAACCTTAAGAACTCGGTGCTCAAGGAGCCCAGAAAAGATAGACCTTATGTTTTGGACAACATCATGAACGGTCTTTTGGTGCAAGACACAATGGCTAGAAACATCACCGGTACGGTGATCACATCCCTTTTTTCCCTGTACGGTCTTGAAAAGTGGCCTCAGGCTTTGCAGCATTTATTGTCTTTGGCGGAATCGGCGGATGCCGGCCAATTGGCCAAGGAAGCAGCCATGAGTGCTTTGAGCAAGATCTGTGAAGATAGCGCCTATCTGTTGAACAAGGACTTCAACGGAGAGAGACCTTTGAACTACATGGTTCCTAAATTCATCAAGATTGCTGCGCAGCCCGAATCGTCGAGCTACATGAGAGCGGAGGCTGTTCGTTGTGTGAACCAGTTTGTGCCTCTCAAGACTCAGCTGTTCTTGGTGCACATTGACGACTTCCTTCATGTGCTCTTCCAATTGGCCCTGGACGGCGACAGCAGGGTGAGAAAGAACGTCTGCACGGCTTTTTTGCTGATTATGGAAAACAGACCCGACAAGTTGGTGCCCCACATGGACGGAGTGGTGAACTACGGTCTTCACTCAATGCAAGACTCTGACGAGGACGTTGCCATGGAGGCGTGTGAGTTTTTATTGGCTCTTGCCGAGCTGCCTCAAAAGGGCCACAAGCAGCTGTTCCGCCCCAAGCTCCAGCAGGTTTTGCCTGTTCTTCTTGAGAAGATGATGTACTCGGAGGAGGAGCAGTTTTTGATTCAGATTGCCGATGAGAAAGATGATGCTCGTGTGGCTGACAAAAACGAAGACATCAGACCCAGCGCCGCTAAGGCCAAGACACATCAGGTCGGTCGTAAAGGTGAGCCAAAGAAAGAACAGTCTGCTGAACCAGAGACCTCATACGATCCAGATGATGACAGATTCGAGGATTCTGATGGCAGCTACACCGTCCAGCCTTTGAGCGACTCGGACGACGACGATGACTCGGACGATGAGCTCGATTCCTGGAACCTTCGTCGTTGTTCTGCTGCTACTCTTGACGCTCTCTCTATTGAGTACCCAGAGGAGGTGATCGAGGTGACCTTGCCTATTCTTCAGGAACGTATTGTTTCGAACGAATGGCCTGTTCGTGAGGCTGCCATCTTGGCTTTCGGTGCCATTTCCACCAGTTGCACGGAACTTGCCAGTGACAAATTGCCCACCCTTGTTCCCTTCTTGGTGGACCGTTTGAGAGACCTGGAGCCAAGAGTACGTCAAATCTCGTGCTGGACGGTCTCCCGTTTTGCCCTGTGGGTTTCTGGTGAAGCTCACGAAGGCGGCACCTACGCTAACTACTTCCAGCCTACTTTTGAATCCATTGTGCTGTGTGCATTGGACGCTAAGAAGGTTGTCCAGGAGGCTGCTTGTTCCGCATTGTCTGTTTTCATTGAATCTACTGACATTTCCCTTATTAGCTACTACGTGGGACCCTTGATGGACCACTTTGCCAAATGTCTCCAGGTCTACCAGAGAAAGAACATGGTCACCTTGTACGACTGTATTCTGACGTTTGTGGACAAGATTGGCCAGGACGTTTTCAACTCCAAGCCAGAGTACGTCTCCACGTTGTTGCCTCCGCTTTTGCACAACTGGCAGGTGTTGGAAGATACTGACTCTGATTTGTGGCCTTTGCTTGAGTGCATGGCGCTGGTGGCTGCCACTATGGGTGAGGCGTTTGCTCCTTACGCTGTCCCGGTTTATGAAAGAGCCGTCAAGATCTTGAGCAATGCCGTCCATTTGAACCAGGAAGTCCACACCCATCCCGAGATTGAAGCTCCAGAGAAAGACTTCATTGTCACCTCGCTTGATTTGATCGACGGTCTTGTCCAAGGATTCAAGGGCCACTCCATCGATTTGATGAAGCAGCACGGTGCTGACTTGATGGAGATTGTGAAGGTGTGCCTTGAGGATCCCGACGACGATGTCCGTCAGCTGAGTTACGCTCTCTTGGGTGACTTGGCCATCCATGCTTGTGAAGAGACCATCAAGCCGAACTTCGACACTCTTATAATGTGGATCGGCAACGAGATTAACGGACACACCTACTCCAAGTACCCAGTCACCAGTAACGCCATTTGGGCGTGTGGTGAGATGGTCCTTGTGTTACCTAAAGATCTTGTTCAACCCCAAGTGTGGAACATTTCCAACCTCCTCATCACCGTCATCAACCAGCCAGATGTGCAGCTGGCCGTGCTAGAAAACACTGCCATTTGTCTTGGTAGATTGGGTTTTGCTGGTCCCGAGGTCATTGGTCCTCGTTTGCCCGAGTTCATCTACGCCTGGTGCACCCACATGATGTACATTCTAGAGAACGAAGAGAAGGAGTCGGCTTTCCTCGGTATGATCGAGATCATTCTCCAGAACCCAGACAACGGATTCGGTGGATTGAGCAACCAACAAGGCCGCAAAAACTTGGCTGTTTTCCTCGACTGTATTGCCAACTACCTTGGAGGCAGCGAGAGACTCAAGCATAGATTCCACCAATTTTTGATTGGTTACAGAGACCTTACAGGCCCCAACTGGGGCCAGGTGTTGGCTCTTGCCAGCCAGGACACACAGCTCGTGCTTCGATCATACAAGTGATTCACGAGTATAGAACCTCCAGCACCAACGGCGTGGGGAGGTCACGGACTCCGCTTGGTGCCTTGTGAATATAGGCAGCGGGGTCCTCCGGGTATATAGCGTTTTCGTCGGTGAAGACACGGGGATCGTCCAACGGTAGCGTCTTCACCTCAGTGTTGTATAATGCTAGGCAGATATACACATAGAGCATGAGCATAAGCAGGTAGGCCGGCACCGCCTGGGCCCAGTATTTGTCTGGGTAGTAGTAGACACCGAAGTAGTTCAAGGCTTTTTCTGGAAGGAGTAGCCATGCCATGTAGCCGAGTAGTAGCACGGCAGAAAGCACGTATATGAAGAATCCCTTGTATTCAGCGTAGGACGTCACGTTTGTGGAAACGGTGACATCTGATTCACGGGCAAGTTTATCTTCGTTTCGTAGTGGCAGTAGAAGCGATGGAGCCGGAGACGGCAGGCGGCTCGTTGGTGTTTGAGTTCTAACGATGTTGAGCTTGTTCATATGGGTTGTTCTTCACGGGATAGGCTATTGATTATTTGAGGTTATAATTGAATGTGTGGTTTGTGGAAGTGAAGGGCCCGTTAAGCGTTTTGTTTATGCAATTGCGCTGTTTGTGGTGGAGATTTGTAAGTGTAGGTTGAGTAGTTGATTTGATGATGTGTGGTGATGTATGGCGCACGGCTGCGAAATGTAAGTTAGTGAGAAAGTTGGAGATGAGTGGACAAAGAAAGTGTCGAGAGTCAGACAAATTTTAGATTTTTTTTTTTTTTTTTCAGTTTTTCGATTTTTCGAAGTTTAGTTTCCAATGAAGAGAAGCAATAATTACAAATTGTAAAAGGGCCCCGGGTTGATGGAACGAACACACCTTGCAACCATTCGAGAGAGCTAGGCATGAAAGCATCGCAGTGATAAATTGCACATTGAATCCAGATTAAGAACTTTATCAGAGATAATAACATGTTGAATCTTCGGGAACTTGAGTAAGCCTACATGAAGTCATTTCAACTCACAGCATCTTAAAACAGCTTATCCTCCAATTAGGTTCAGTAATCTCCTCCTCACGGAAAGTGATCATGAACAGATCATTAAAGCATTCGAATCATTCCACCAGTCTAGATCATCATCGTATTCCACAGCTCCAAATAAGAAGCTCTACATCTCATCGCTTTCCTCTTCTCACGAAGTCTGTGACCATCCGAGATCCTCAAAACCAAAAACCCCAAACGTTTCCAACAATGATGAAACCCCCAAAATCAAGCCACCTTTTTGTATATCTCCCCGGATTGTACTGCTCCTGCTGGGGTAGTGACGCAACGACTGTGTTGTCCGGGTAACCGTTACTGATTTCGGATCGCGGCTAGCGCTGAGTCATTTCCCTTTTCGGCCATCTTTTTTTCACACCTCTTTTTATCACCACTTTCTTTCACAACCAATGTTCAGTGGTGTTTCTATATGGCACCGCAACTTACAGCGGCTCGCGTCGCTGCCTGCTAGCTTCACCCGCTTCTTCAGCGTTTCTTCCCGCTTTTACAATGCGCAGCCTGTCTATCATGGTGGTGAGTTCTTGAAGACCTTACCCCATTTCAAGCCGCAATTGGTGGATGTCAGCAAGGTTTTGGTGATTGGATCCGGTGGTTTGTCGATTGGTCAAGCTGGTGAATTCGACTACTCTGGCTCCCAGGCCATCAAGGCCTTGAAGGAAGCCAACAAGCAGTCTGTCTTGATCAACCCCAATATCGCTACCAACCAGACATCCCATGCTTTGGCTGACGAAATCTACTATCTTCCTGTTACTGCTGAATACATTACCTATATTATCGAGCGTGAGCAACCCGATGGTATCTTGTTGACTTTTGGTGGCCAGACTGGTCTCAATGTTGGTGTCCAATTGGACAAGATGGGTGTTTTTGAGCGTTACGGCGTCAAGGTCTTGGGTACACCAATCAAGACGTTGGAGACTTCCGAGGACCGTGAT